ATTTAAATATTAGAGGTAATTTAAGTTTTTTTTTCCTTCTTCTTTCGGCTGTTCCCTTCGTTAAGCATCGCCACAGCGAAGTAACTCGCATATAGACTTGGCAATAGTTTTTACGCCGGATGTCCTTCTTGACGCAACCACAGACACCGAGCCACCACAGCCTTCTGTGTGAAACACAGAGCTGCCATCTAGGGCGCCCAGGGGAGCAGATGGTGGGGGTTAAGGGCCTTGCTCAAGGGCACAGAGTGGAGGCAAATGAGGGTGGAGGCAGGTGTGAGTGCTTCACCTATCCCACCCACATTTTGATGTTGTTGGTACCTGGAGTTGAACCGGCGATCTTTCGATCACAGGCCCACTTTCTCTAACCTCTGCACCACCACTCCCTTTTTATTTATTAGAGGTAATTTAAGTATTAGAGGTAATTTAAATATAGCAGGTAATTTAAATCTTAAAGGTAATTTAAATATTTTTTCTTTCTCTTTCACCACTTGCTCTTGTCAAGGGCGGACACATTTCCCCTCCTGTCCCTCTCCGCTTTGCTTTTGCTCTGTCCTGTCTGTGAAACTGCTTCAGAGCCTCTCTACACATCTTCCGAACCGTAATTTTTGCTATGGATCTGGTCAGCTGGTCTCTCAACGCAACTGAAAAAATTTTCTCGACAAGAAGACAGGCTTCAGGTGAGCCGACTTGCCCTGATGACACGCACGCAGCTGGATACGTCATTGATTCCTGGGGCGAGTGGAAGGTGTTATGTCTCTCTGCTGTCCATCGAGGATGTTGAAGATGCATGTACAATCGGATTTATAATAGGTTTCCTGCTTTTTGGACTCGGCTGGTTCCTGGTTTACCAACAAACAAGGAAGTTGTCGGCAGCAAATTTGGCCCTGGTCAGGCTGCCTGTCTTATGTGATGGTTTGCTCCGTGCCTCGAGCACCCAGACTCAATTGCTTTGTGAACTGAACAGCAAACTGGATGTGATTTGTGAGAATCGCTGGCCAATTGTGGCCCCTAGGATTCTCTGGCAGGATAGATCAGATCTCGGGGAATACTCTCAAGCATGGACCAGCGGTGTTCCCACTTAATTTGGATGTTTGGGATTCGTGAGGACCAGCAACAACTCAAGGCAGACATAAATCAGTAAAGTTCTGCCTGTTCCCAAAACAAATGTTTATCTGAATTTGTCTCCCCGGCTGGCCTTGACAGGCCATCTTATCTCAATTCGCCTGGAGACCCTGTAAATTTGATGCTCTGCCCACTCCCCTTCCTTCCACGAGGAAGTCTGCTGACCTATCGGAGGGACTGGCTGAATAAACATTGTGTAATCATTTCAGGACTCTTGGATTCTCTCTGGAGATGTCCTAGGTTGACCTCGGCATCCTCGAGTCTTTACGGATCTCACCAGAGGGAACTGACTGATTGTACCATTCTTATCAGAACTCCTACAGTGCCTCTGGAGCGTCCTTGGACACGCTCACCGCCCTTGTCGTCTCCCCTCCCCTGCAGAATGTCTGTCACTATGTGCGGGGTGTTTTTATCAATCAGGCTCTCTCTCCTCAGCCAAGGAGAAAGAGTTTGATAGGAGATTTTTGCCTCCAACTCCTACACATGTCAGTTTCACGACTCTTTGTCTAAACAGGTCTCACTTGTAAATGAGTCCGCGAGGCTCAATGTGATGTATCTGTATAAATAAAGGTTGAAAGAAATATTGAACGTAATTTAAACATTAGAGATAATTTAAGTATTAGACAATTTAAATATAAATAATTTAAGTATTATAGATAATTTAAATATTAGGATATTTAAATAATAGACACAATTTAAATGTCAGAGGTAATTTAAGTATTTGAGGTAAGTTAAATAAAAGTAATATAAATATTAGAGAGAATTAACTTGTAATGTTTAGATTATGCATTAGAGATCATTTAAATATTAGCGATAGCTGAAGTAATGTAAATAATTTGAGATTATTTTATGATGGTTTTTGAAGACAGAGACCAGTCTTAGAGTCTGGACCTGGAACCAGAACTCTGCCAGCAGAGACCTCCTCCTGGTTAAACCCGTTGACCAGAACCACTGATGTCTGATGTGGGACCATGAAAAACGATGGAGGAATCGGGTTGGGGAGGGGGGATCAGCGATTTATGGTGGAAAACGTTGGAGCGAGAGCCACTTAAGGGATGGACTGATAAACACCATCGACAGCAGCGCGGGTGGGGTGGGGGGGGACACATGCAGCTGCAGCGGAGCGTCGCAGGTTAATTGAGATAATATTGACCTCCTCCTCTAATCTTTCCAGGTGGGGGAGGGGGGCATGTTTCAGATTCATAAATAAACAGCAACATGAGTGAATAGAAAAGCATCGGTGTTCAGGTGTGTGTGTGTGTGGGGGGGGGGATAATGGCTCATTGACAATCGTACGTGTGTGTGTCAGAGGAGTGTGTGTGTGTCAGAGGAGTGTGTGTGTGTCAGAGGAGTGTGTGTGTGTCAGAGGAGTGTGTGTGTGTCAGAGGAGTGTGTGTGTGTGTGTGTGTGTGTGTATGGAGCAGAAAACAAGCTGCAAAATAAATACTTCTATACTTCAAAGATGAAAACTTCATTTTGTAGCAGAAAAGACAGAAAGATGAGGAGTGTGTGTGTGTCAGAGGAGTGTGTGGTGCTGTGGGTTAAATGTGTGTGCTCCGAGGGGGAGGAGTAATTATAAGGTGCTTCTGTTGACTAACGAGGGTACGGGGGGGCACGAGGAGTCGATCTTTATGTGGACGCAGTCAGCTCTAATTTGTTATGATGGCCTCCCAGAGACACATAATTACACACACACACACCACGCTCACCGTGTGTTACCGTCTCCTGGTGAGTGTGACACAACACTCCCTGACTCGGAGACGTCCCTCCATCCTCTGGGTCTGGACTCGGGTCTCGGGGGCAGCATCTTGAGCAGGGAGGTCCAGATCTCTTCTAGCTCCTCTGGGAGGACTCCAAGGTGTCCCAGAGCAGCTGAGAGACAGAGTCTCTCCAGAGGGTCCTGGGTTTTCCCTGGGGTCTCCTCCCAGTTGGACCTGTCCAGAACACCTCCCTAAGGAGGCGTCCAGGGTCCATCCTGACCAGATGTCTGAACCTCCTCGGCTGTCTCCTTCCACTCCGAGCCTCTCCTGGAGAACTGAACCTCTCACCCCGTCTCTAAGGAGTCCAGCACAGACTCATGTTCGTGCTGCTGCTGTTCAGCGTCTTGTTTTTGTTCTAGTACTTACAGAGTATTTATTACTTCATATCGTAGTACTGCTTTTACTGACAGTTTATACCTTTGGTGGATGTAACTGTGTACACAATCTGCTTCCCTCTCCTGCTTCTTTGCTCTCTGTTCTGTGAATCGGAGCTTCTATTTACACGTCTTCAGAATCGTACATTACTGTCATGGATCTGGTCAGCTGGACTTTCAACGCGATTGATACAATTTTTCCAACTAAGCAACAGGGTCCTGGAGAGCCCTCATGCCCCGCCGAGACGCACGCGGCAGGATGCATCATTGGATTTATGATAGCACCGGTGGATACCTATGTTATCAACTATTAAGGAAGACGGCGGCAGCAGTTTCGGCCATGACAAAGCTGCCGACCTTATCCGAAGGTTTGGTTCGTGCTTCGAGCAGACTCAGCTGATTTACGAGCTCAACTGTGAGATGGAAGCGATTTATGAGAATCGTAGGCCACTTGCTGCTTCTGGGACTCTCCAGCATGTTGGGGTTGACCTTGGAAGAAGCTAATAAGCACGTACTGGAGGAATGACCACAGATCTGGCCAGTTTGGATCATCGAGAGTACCGGCAGAACTCGAGGCTGACGAGAAAAACCAGTCTGCCTGCACGAAGAACAACTGTGGCTCTTCTGAATGGGACTCCCCCATTCAGCCTTGAATAGACCGACTTATCAAATTGCTCCTGGGGATGTGTAAACTAAGAAGGCTCTGCTCCGTCTACCCCCACACCCCCTGAGAACTTCTGCAAACACTCATCAGAGCTGTACCGGCCGACATCAACATCTTTTCAGGACTATGGTGCTATCTGGAAGTGCTTCATGGACAAATCTCCGTCTTGTCGTCAAATGCATGTAATGTGTTTATACATGTGCTGCTGGTAGAGTTTTATGTCTTAAATCATGTCCTGACAAGGACAAGGTGTGAAGAGATCTTTTTTGTAATACTACCATCTTATCCTCGTGGTCTTTCCCTTGTTCTCTCTAAAGACTAAGGGACCGCTCTCCTAGGAGCTGCAGCCACGTGCACTCCGCCCATCTTTCGGACGACTGTACAGAATATAATCTCGCTGCACTGCTGTGCAATGATAATGAAGCTTATTCTGATTCTGACATGTGGTGCGAATGACGATAAAGAACCTTGACCTTGACTTGACTCATCTAGACCTCCTGGATCCAGGATCTGGTTCTGTCAGTCTCTACCCAGAGTTCGTGACCACAGGTGAAGGTAGGAACGTAGACCGAGCGGTAAACAGAGAGCTTTGCCTTACAGCTCAGCTCCCTCTTCACAACAACGGACCGGTACAGAGTCCACAATACTGCAGAAGCTGCTCCAGTCCATCTGGTGATATCACGCTCTGTTCTTCCCTCACTGAAAACAAAACCCTGAAATACTTGAGACTCCTCCACTGGAGGCAGAACCTCAGTCCACCCTTTTCCCAGACCTCGTCTATAACATAAAGCAAGAAAATAAGAACATTAAACCTGGTCTTTCCTTCAGTGACGTGGTCTTTCCTAACCCTCACCCTAACGAGACTCCAGGTTGACCGTCAGAACACGGGCCCGATTGTTAACCCTCTGGCTGCCTGGAGGTTCTACCAGAAGGTGACTCCTGTTTGGTACGTTTCTTGGTGAGAGTTTATTTTTGATCAGACTCTGTTGAAACTGGGCAGAACATTAAAGTCCAAGGTTCTAAACCCGGACCTGGGAGGTTGGAGACCTTTAGATGGAGCTCGGCTGACTATCGTCCTACCTGCTGGCGTCCGGTCCAGGTTTGGGCCGGCCCTGGGTGTTGGCCTCCCACACGCTGTTGGCGAGCTCGTTGCCGATGGTGGACATCACCTTGATGAGCTCCAGCGGCCACTCGTCCAGGTCCAGAGAGCGGACCCTGGACAGATGTGTGCCCAGGTTCCGGTGGATACCCGAGCACTCGATGCAGATCAGCGCCCCCAAGTTGAGACTGGCCCAGTCCGGGTCTGGATGAGCAAGAAGAAGAGCAGACTTAGCCACATGTACATGAACTAAACCAACTTGGATCTCCGGAACATCGCTGCTCACTCTGTGCGTCACAGTCGGCGCAGCGGCCGTTTCCTCGAAGACTTCGGATGGACTGCAGCGCCAACGCCTCCGACTGACTCGTCAACCGAGACTGAAAGACAACAGGTCAAAGTCCAAGTCTTTAACGAGTCATTCATTCAGCATCTGGTCTCCCTGCGAGAGAACCACCTGCACCAGCTACTGCCAGACCCTGACTCTGGTTTCAACTGGACCTCTGTAGAAGTTAACGAGGAACTTGGTGACATCCAGAGAACTTAACTGACGCTCCAGGTGTGCAGCTAAACGACCCCGAGGGAAGACTTGGTGTGCGAAGCGGACCTTGGCGGGCCGTGGTACTGACCTTGTTCTTGCTGATCTCGCAGGACTGCAGGCTGGCCAGGATCTGGCTCTCGATGACCTGGACCCAGGCGTCCCGCTCCTCGTACGAAGTGGCCTCGAAGTTCCAGGTCTGACCCGTCAGAGACACGATGATGAACTCAAAGTTCTCCTCTGGTTCTGTTGGGACACAACACAAAGTTCAGACAACCCATTCTCAAGTTCTGACCCGTTTTAAAAGCCCAGTTCTGTTCTGACCCCTGCTGACCCATCAGAACCGTCCCACAGCCAGACCCGTGTCCGAGGGTCTTTACAGGTTCTGCTGCAGGAGGACCCACGGGCCCATTAGAACGGTTTTCAGGTTACCAGGACAACCAGGACCCGATTAGACTGAAAGGGGCGGAGCTTGGCCCACACGAACAAAGAAGTCCTTCAGATATGGCCACACTCATCAGAACCTGAGTCCTGATCGGGTCGGTGGTTCTGCTGGTCGACTGAGTCCACGTGGGACTCTGGTGAGCTCCTGAATGGTTCTGGCTGTCCCGGGTCGAGCCTCTTTGGGTTTCCAAGGTTCTGGCATGGTTCAGGTTAAAAGCAGGTGGTGTCTGGGTGTGTGTGTGGTGGTGGTGGTGGTGGTGGTGGTGGTGGTGGGGGGGGGGGTTGCAGCAGGATGACCTCCAGCATGGTCGATTCTTTCCATCAGCTCAGAAGAACCGCTCAGAACCTGGACCCTCCTGGTTCTGACTGAGTGCTCCGTCTGAGCCCTGCAGGGTCAGCTGCTACATTCCCCTCATAATTAAACTCCCATGATGCTTTGTTTTCAGGTGTGTGTGTGTGTGTGTGTGTGTGTGTGTGTGGGGGGGTGACAATTATGGAAAGCAACAATCCAGAAAGGTTGACTCTGAGCTGCAAATTAAACTGTTCCTGAGTTCAGCGCCGGCGCCACGCAGCAGGTGATGAATTAAAACAGGTGTGGGGGGGTGGGGGGTGGGGGGGGGGCAGCACCGCGCTCCTCAACAGACAGGATGGAGTGAAACGGTGTGACATTTAAAGCTGCACTCATCATGGTTTTAACATTAAAGGTCAACACAAAACGTTTCTGCAGCTTTCATACCTCTGCAGACTTCCACTTCCTGTTCCTGCTTCACTTCCTCTTTCTGCTTCACTTTTTGGTCCTGGTCTACTTCCTGTTCCACTTCCTATTTGTGCTCCACGCCTCTGTTTCTGCAGCTTTTAGCTCGGCAGACTTCCACTTCCTGTTCCTGCTTCATTTCCTCTTTCTGCATCATTCACACTCCCACTTCCTGCTCCACTTCCTTGTTCTGCAGCTTTCAGCACAGACATAGAGCCTCTGTGTGATGTCACTGGACATGCTCACCAGGAAATGGACTGAACTTCATAAAGCACTGTTCTACAAAGTTTTTCAAGTTTTCACACACCAATATATTTGGAAAACAAACAGGCACACACATAT